TTGCATTTATATTAGATCTCTATATCTTTTTTCATTATGTCCTTGAAAATAAACACTACACTGTAAAAACTCTTGTATTAGTTTAACATTTATCATATTGTAAGGTTTTATAACATCAACATTCGTTTTACGTTGTTGTGGTTGTCATATAGGGCAGCACAAATACTAAGAATATAATCCCAAAACTAGCCAAAGTTATCTTGTTGCATTTATATCAGATCTCTATATCTTTTTTTATTTATTCCTAGATTATACACGCAAATCTATGGAATAAAAATACCCGTTTCAAATGCTATAAATAAATAACAAAAAATTAGCGTTTATCTATTAATAAAATTTTAACTGTAATTTTTTTAACTTTTAAAGTATAAGATAGCTATACATTTATTCGCAATGAGTTAACCTAAGATACAATAATATTAATATTATAAAGGATACAAACGTGTTAGGCTTCAAGGGTCCTCGAAAAATGACCATCGTGATCCCTAGCATGAATCTTGATAACGAAAGAATAGAGATTATACCTAGATCGGTAAATATTTTAAACCGCTATTTTTATTCGATATTTAAAAAAATTACTTATATATTTTAATGCAAGAGACAGTATAAGTAGGTAGACTAAATTTTAATACAGTATGGTGGGTAGTATATCTGGAATAATTTGTCCACTGACATCCAGGAAGTGGCTCCTACACTTCCTGATCGATGGAAACAGAATACCCCCCCCCCTCCTCCACCGGAAAAAACAGTGAATTTGTTTTTTAGACACCCTTTTGATGAAGTAGTAGGAATGATTAATAAATATTTATATAAAATTGATAAATTTAGGAAAGCAAAAAAAAATAAAGTAAGATAGACGAATTCCAGTCTGCGTAAGTCTCAGAATCATCAGAAGAAGAAAGAAGCTAAATTATGTATTAACATTACAATTCTCAGAATGGTTAGTCCTTAGATTCTTTAACCTCCAGGACATGTGTAATAATTACAACCCTCGGTTTTTAGTCATAATATAAATATATCAAAACTTTAGACATTTTTATCAAAAACTTGACTTGAATTTAAATGGTAAAATTGACAGATATCCTCAATTATCATCCTTAACAAATGTCTTTTCCGTCATTCCTTTTAGCGTAAAAAAAAATGATGTTTGAAATTTAAAATTTTCATCGATTAATCAATTGAATTTTTCATTAAACTGCACGATGATCGAATTAAGTGCAGCGAAAACCTATTTTATAAGCTAAAATAAAAATATTATATTTAATAATGAAAGTATATACACCTCCCCTATTTTGTATTGTAATGCTTGAACTCTAAGAACTTTCAAAATCAAAAGGTAGATCTTTCCTCTTCATAAAATCTTGCGCCTTTGATAAAACATTCACAAATTCAGTGTTTTTTATAGATCACTTTAAATTATATACTTCTCAAAATTAATCAGGTATTTGCTTATTGCATTTGATTTATTGCAAATCCTATATATCCTTCGACAAGCCAAGCTTGTTATCAACAACATTTAACCAAAACACAAAATCAAAATTTTCTATTCTCTAAAAAAACACTAGCGCTAGCTCTGGTTAGAAGTGGCAGAATCTTCAGAATCCTTTTAAATTTGTCAAAATTGCCTTCTTCAAGGGTATTACAAAGTATAAATTTTTTTTTACAATAGCGTTATATAATGATAGCCTGCTTCTATTTATATAAAATAAATAATTTTTTTAAATCTAAACAAATAAGATAATATTATACCGAATGGTAATTCTTGATGCCTAAAAATTCCTTGCGATTTTGTCGGTACATCACTCTGACATGCTTTGAGCACTGCGTATCTTTTAACATCATTGAGGTACGGGTGAATCTCGTCTAAGATCCTTCAAACATTTCTATACCCCCATTTCAATTTTAGGAAGCAAATTCCACTTCTCCCTACCCGTTGTAGGGGCCATTGAATCCAGGGACACTTTGACCGGCTATAAATAATCATCTTAAAATATAAAATCGATAATTTAGTTTAAAAAAAAATTTCTGCTTTTATAACAAGAATATAGGCTTACAAAATTTAGAAAATGGGTTCTCCCCATATGACGGATCCCCTCTACTCCTTATCCAGTTACTTTCATTGACCACACTCCCTGTATCCCGATAAATTTGTTGTATATAATATCGTATTAACTATTTGATCGAACTATTAATCATCACAAATATGTATAATCGTAACATTAAATTAAATAAGCATCATAAAACTTTCCCTTAAACAAAATGTAATGTATATTGTTTAAAATACCACTCCAATGCCTACAAAAATTTTTATTTCACCAATATATATATCAATCAATTATCAGATCATATGATCAAGAAACAAAGAATATGAAAAAAAAATTGTTATCATCACTCTTATTCGAAATTAATCGAAAAACGTCTATATATATGTCAATTACATGTAAAAAGGAATACGAAACAATATTCGAGAAGTGGAAGAGAAGGGAATTGGACTGCATTCTAGAGCTCAAAAATAAAACCCCGATATGGAACGACGGTAAATAATTTATAAATATATAATAGAGCCATTCGTAGTAAAGATCTGCATTTAAATCCGGCCCAAAAAACCGGGACCGAAAAAATCCCGCCCGAAATTTGTTTTTAAAAAAAAATTGTCATAGCCAAAATCAAAAATATTAAGACCAAAGAAAATTTGGACCCTGGGGGGGGGGAGGGGATCGAGCCTTACAAATCGCTAATTCATGGGACCTATTTTTTCAGGTCTAAACCGAATTCCTAGAAAAAAAAATGATTATCAAAATTTTTCTTCCGACAGATCCATCTCCAAATTTTTGTTTTTTTTTATTATTCGAAGATCTTATTCCAATTCGAATTTTAATTTTTTTTTCGAAAAAACATATTTTCCAATCCTAATTCTTCGAAGATGACTACCAGTTCCGGGGTCACTTTTTTATATTTACTTTTCGAAAGCACTAATGCGTTAGGATGCTAGTGTCCGAAGTTTTCTAGTGGACAGTCAATAAAAATGTATAATTCACCTTTGGACCATTCGAACGTAGAGCCATAAATAATCATTTTTATTCGAAAATCTCCAGGGCTTACCAATGACATCTAATAATACCTAAACTAACGATCCATACGTAATAATGCATTTAAAAGTATCGTTGGATGCACAAATCAGCTGGAACGTCCATTTTGGTAACCCCATATGGTAATTATTCTCATGTTAAAAAACTACTATTAAATTGATAACTTGCATTCCCTTAATTATCTCGATGATCAAGGCAATTTCTTTAATAAAGCTTGCCTCCGACATGGGGATTAAATTGGCCTCTCTTTTAAATTTTTTTTTAAATAATGATATACGGGCAACCAAAATGACGTCCCCAGCTGTTTTTCATTGATGTACACTTTTAATGAATGAATGCATAGGAAGTCTAGGTATTATTATTATATGTAATCGAAGCTCACGTGGGTTTTTCACACACCCGCTATAGTCACATCGGATCACAGTCACCAAAACTAATATTTTATTTCTAACCAATTACGATAAAATAAAATTCAGATACTCAATCATACGTGCTAAATTTTCACGGGAGAGTGACTCAAGCGTCCGTTAAAAATTTTCAAATCGTTCACGAAAATGATGGTTTAAAATTATATTTTCCATAGTTTTTAAAAAAAAAATTATTAATTTGTTTAAATTTATTTTTAAGTAATTGATCGCAAGTTTAAAAACTAAACTAAACCCTAAATAAATTTAAATAATGTTGTATTGGGATATGGGAACTGTCACGGTGGCCTTCTGAATTTCTCGATTTTAATAATTCGTTTACTTGATGTGAGCTATTATTAAATTTGATTGACCAGAAATCCATTCCCGCCATTTGTTAGTGTAATACTCCTAACACTACCATAGAAATTTCAGAAAACTTAAGGTCAGTTTAAGGTTCCCGCGAGAAAATAAAGATGCATTTCCGGTTATATCTAATAAATTATTTTTCAAATTTTAAAAGTTTCCCTCAGTAATTGACTTAAAATTTGTGAGATTACGAATTCCCGTAGATTTGTCACCATAAATCCCGATCAAGACACTTAAAATATATGATTTAATCTTATATTTCTATTTATTTTAATTTTTTTCGAAAAAATAAAAAATTTTCTAAGTAAATTACATATTCATGCAATTCGGTCGCGTGTCCGAAGACGGGTTTACGATGGATTATAGCTACCCGATGTGCGCTGTTCAAGCGTTCGCGGTAGCTCTCAGCAGCTTTGACGGCAAGTTAGCCTGCGAATAGGAACACACAACCGAGAATCTCACTTTCTTTTTTTTCTTCTTCCTTTCTTTTAAATTGACTTTATAAACTTTTCGTAAAATTAATTCCCCGAAATTCCCCGAAGAAAAATAACCATGATCAAATAATATAGACCTAACCCAAAGCTCCGATATTCCTTTATCAATGTTACCTTCATGTGCGTTGCGAGGATGATAGTTTTTTATTCTAAATCAATGAATCTTTGTGTGTACACAAACTAACACTTTGTATTGTAAACATATTACTAATATTTCATTTTTTTTTTTTAAAATATCAATTTCACCATTATAAATTGGCACAAGTGCAATTTTAAACAAAAATAATTAAATGATTTTAAAAAGTGACAAAGTTATAATAACCAACAATATCGGGCCGACCCGTAGTCCAGACCCGGGTTTCAGACCCGGTCATCGGATATTATTCGTATTTATACGTAAATATATATTTTTTTATTACAACTCAGTCATAATTTATAAATAATATATTTGGCCAAATTTTAAACCCGTGGTTTTATGTGATTCATTATTTTTGTCACAAATTTTTATTTTAAAGATCACACGAGTTTCATGATTTCGATATGTATGATATTTGTATAAAGGACTTTATAAAAATGAATAATATTATTTACATGGATTATATGCTGATATTTAACAAATTGTTTTTTAGTGGAGGGTAAAGTGAGTCCAATAGGAGTTCCAAAGACTTATAGACTTAGCGAACGCTGACATTAAGTGTTAATAGAATACATATTTAGCATGATCATTAGATAACGAGCTATTAAGTCAAGAATTGGAAAGCAGTGTTATGTTATGTACTTTCTAATTTCAAATGTTTTACGTATAGTTCCATGACTTTATGACATGAATATGCTAATATTAGAAAATTGTTTAAGTGGAGGGTAAAGTGAATCCAATAAGATTTCCAAAGACTTAGCTAAAACGCTGACAGAATGCTTTTTTATTTATATAAACTCAGGATGCGATATCTGGTCATTAGCTTCAATAGTAAAAGTATAAAACATAATCATTAGATAACTAGCTATTAAGTCAAGAATTGGAAGTTTGTATTATGTATTTGCTATTTTCGAATGTTTATACATATAGTTATCATTTGATTTTAATCATTTTAATGATTCCTAAATTAATTGACCATAAAGAAAAATTACAAAAGGGTAATTTTTATGCCATTTTAAATGATTCTAATCTATATTTAAGATATTATTAAGAAAGATATATAAGAAAAAATAAATGATTAGGAGATTAGCTAAAAGATTACAATGTGCTCGTATTTAAATATTCTTTTAAATCTATAACAATGAAATCTATATAGGTTAATTATCGCGCAGTTGCGTGTTTAAGTGGCCCTTTTTCTGGGGTTAAACGGGTAAGCGAACATGAGTTTAAAATTTTTTAATATTTTTAGTGTTAAGATATTCACCACTTCTTCCAGAACTATTTTATTTTCCAAGTAATGACTAAGAAGATTTCCATGATTTTTGTTATTCCACAATATTAAGTATCATCGCAAAATTTGTAAAGCGGAAATGGATAATCCTAAGCAACACAATCCACTGATTCCAAAAAAAACAAAATAAATAAATCATATGGAAGAATGGCCTCATATGATTTAAAGAATTACAAATAGCGTCTGAGTACCATTAGCATTCTCCTGGATAAGTCCACTCTTTAAAAAAATTTAAAAAGGAAATGTAGCTTGAAATCTAATCAAATTATATTCAATAGGATATGTACTTATTTGTGAATAAAATTGAGCAAGAATTTACTTATCATATTTAGAACAATCATTCTAGTGGACAATGTCAGCCTGAACCAACACAGATGCTGAACTCAAATCAGGCTTAAATTTAGAAAGCTAACTCCAAAATCAAGCAGAATTTTGATTGATATCAGTGCCAATCAACAACAAGCGACTTTTATTTATTATTTTTGCCCCACAAAGCGATAGATATTTGAAACAGTGAATCAAAGACATGCAATAAGATATCTTGATATCGTAAATCATCTGTGGATCCTAGAATCCATTTCTTTGAATACATATTCTTACAAAGTAAAAGGTCAGATCATTTAAAGATTTGTTAAACACCTTTTAACCTATTACATTCTAACGAGAAGAGGGCTGGGTTATGTATGGTTCCCCTGACGTAAATGGAGTATTTTATCTGCAATGTATTCCTATTTTAAAATGATACACTTTTTTTTTTGTTTTTTAGCAATAAATCTGTCAATTATAAATAGTTTGAATAAAATTTTAAAGAATTGAGATAAGAAATAAATTATCGACGTCTTCTGGAACTTTTATAAAATTCTGTCATCAGGATCCATGGTGCATTCAAAGTTAGGCAAACAAAATTCGAACTTTCCGACACGTAAAAACTTTCTCTTCATCTTTTATCAAATTTTTTTGAATTTAAGCAGACGATAAATAAAACAAAAAAAAATGATTATAAATTTTTTTTTCAAGACAATAAAACTTTAGAGCCAAAACGTTTTTGAAGGAATTTCTCAATAGGAACTGAGTCTATTGATTTCACAAGTTAAGACGACCGGATCAGCTGAAAAACAATATGGTGGTGGTAAGACCAGGAAGAGCTGAGAACAAAATTTTTGATTCTGTTGAAACACTCTTATTGAGGCCATGGAAAGGGACTGGCACCCACATAATAATTTCGAGTATCCCGAGAAATTGGAATTTCGCAAAACTTCAGTGCATCGGATTATTCACAAAGTTCCTCAGCTGACATGTTTTTAAAATGGAGACAAGACCCTAACCGATGCGAATAAGATTGCCTGTCTGGTAAGTTGTTACCAAACAATTTCTACGCATCTTCATTTAGTTTCATTTCATATGGTTTTACGAACGAAAAGCTGTTTACGTTAACTCCCATAGGTAAATCTAAAAAACGATAGTTGTAAGCCTCGATTCCAATGAGAAAAAAGTAATTGCAACCAATCAATTACCAAGTACAATATTAGGCTCAAATTAATATTTTAAATGTTTGATGTTTTCAAGGTTTTGTCGAATTGTTAAAAGTTTAATAATAAAAAAACAAAAACCAAATTTTTAAATGTTGGAAGGTTGTTGTTTGTTCAAACTTAGAATGTGCAGCACAACTTTAGGACCCTGTTGCCAGAATTTAAAAAAATATTTGCAGAAAGCATTGATAATTTACCTCTCTTTGACGAATTTATTGCCAAGGCAAAAAAAAAGGTATCAGTTCTATTGATACAGAGTGTATAAGAAAGGAAGGAAGGAAGGAAGGAAGGAAGAAAGAAAGATTTTGTAATTATAAATACTTAAGAAATTAATGTGTTGTAAATTTTATATAAATAAATATCAACTATTACTAACTACTTTCCGAACATTTCCAAATAGTATGAAATTTATCACGCAAATCAGAATTTACAAAAGTATTTAATTCAAAAAAAGTCAGTATACTTCTATAATTGAGTCGGATGATATGTCGTTATCACCATTTTAATAACCCGTCACTCTTAAATATATTAAGAGCCCCATTGGTTAATAATTGTTTTAACGCAAAAAAAAATCCGAGATCTGGCATGCCCTAACCCGACCGAACCGCCAAGAGTAGAGGCCATAAGACCGACAAAAAGGAACACATTAGGAATACATTCATTCAAATCTGCGGCACATTCCCAAAATTCTGGTAATCATTAGAATTGCAAATGTTGCGAATACTAAAATTTCATATAATACCGTTATTGTTCCCTTAGTGTCTACCAGAGTTGTTAAATCTTGTATCTAGATATAAAAATGTGGTATCTTATCTGTATCTAGATAGATTTTTGATTAAAATATCTGTATCTAGATATTATTTTAGACAATGTATCTGTATCTAAATCCATTTTAAAAGTATCTTTTAACAACTCTGGTGTCTACCTAAGTTGAGATAATTATCTTCTCAAAGATCATAGTTTATATTAAAAAGAACAATTATATTTATAGTTTCATAAATAATTGATCAATTTTTTTTTATCCTTGCTTTAATGGGAATTTTTTTTTCTTCTTCTTTTTATAGAGTTCAAATAATCTTTTAATTATATAAAAGATTTTTTTTTTTACTTTTATAGTATTAAAAATCATTTTTTTAAAATTTAAGTAACTTATTATTATTTTGCTTTAGCCGTATTATTATTATTATTATTTTGTATCAAAACACTTATCAAAAACTTTTTCAACATCTTTTTTTTTTGATTATTTATTAAAAAAACTCTTTTAAAACACTTTATATCCTATTAGGATAATATGATTATATACAGATTATTAGATAAAAACTAATAGAAAAAAAACTATTTTTTTTTTCTCCCATTATAGCATATTTTGATAAAGATTATGATTGAAACGAATCTGGAAGAAAAAATGTTCCAGAAAAATCTCGAAACCAATTATTCCCTCTCTCCCCCCCCCCTCTCGAAATAATTACCTCAGAAAGCCAAACACGCCTTGGGGTGAGGGAGCAGTTTTTCCCCATTACCGATTAAAATTCTTTAACGTGCTAATTCTATTATAATTTTTCTTTTTTTTATTAATTAAAAAAAAATATATATCCCTTGAAAATTTTTTTGTAACTGCGTTTCGTATCTTCGCCCAAATCCAAGATCTTTCATAATTCCAGAGACTCGAATTAATATAATCCATTTCCGGTAAATTTTTTCAACTTTAAATCACATTCTGAGCGCGTATTTTTTGAATTTGAAAATCTGATTTTATCGGTAACGTATTCCAACATCTTTGGAAATTTTTACCCTTATAAATTTCAGATAATTTTTTTTTTATCATGAATTTGAATTTCTTAAACTTTAAGTTAGTTTGCATAGATATAAAAATGTGGTATCTGTATCTAGATAGATTTTTGATTAAAATATCTGTATCTAGATATTATTTTAGACGATGTATCTGTATCTAGATCCATTTAAAAAGTATCTTTCAACAACTCTGTTAGTTTGTATCCATTAATCATTTCATATAAATTTTAAATGACTCACTCAAAGGATATCCGGTAAGATTTATCAAACAATATCGTAAGATAGGTATTCCGAACATGCTAGAATGCATTTCCGGTTAAAATCAGTTGGATCGATGAAATATAAAATGTATTTTCAACTTCTTTTCAATTTAGTATCTAATTATATAATTTATGTTGCTGGTTCAACTTTCCACGTTTTCCAGGTGTCACGGAGAATATACATATGTATATATATACTAAGCATCCGCCAAAAAAAGCCAGCGATACAAATTCTAACCGTCATCCATTACACAATTATTTCTGTAAACAAATCAAGTCTATTTAGACTATGGTTTGTCAGATGTCCCCATTTCCCATAAACATTTTCCTAATTTTTGGCTATTTTTCCTAGATTCCTAAAGGACATCGGAGAGTTTATTTAGACTAGGTTTATCAGATGTCAAACATTTTCCTATTTTTGACTATTTTTCCTATATCCCTATGGACATAGGGAATAATAATTTGCTTGTTTCTAATATAAAAAAAAAATTTCTAAAAATTATGTTTTCTCAGACAAATAATAACTTAGAAAAAACAGATGCATCTTATGACACGTGATTACTTAGAAAAAAAATATACCAATTTTGAAACGTGTACGGTCCAGAGTTATTAAAGGATTTAGATACAAGTATCTATATCCTGTATCTAGATATAAAAATGTGGTATCTGTATCTAGATAGATTTTTGATTAAAATATCTGTATCTAGATATTATTTTAGACGATACTGTATCTAGATCCATTTAAAAAGTATCTTTTAGCAACTCTGATACGGTCAGATAAATCAATAATAATTATTATTTTAAAAAAAAGTGGGAAAAAAATGTTACATTTACGTGTCTCTTATTGGTGGAGTTAAATTAAAATAACATAATATAAAAAACATCACAAAAAAAACGATAAAAACTATGCCGAAATGGCCACATATGTCCACATTTTTTGAGAATCTTCTGAATCCTATCATTTTTGTTCGAATCCGTTCTAGTCAGAACCCTAATTCCGGAATTTCTGAATGGCCATAAATTTACCTATGTAAGAATTAAAGAAGAATTTACGAGAATGATTCTTGTAATACTTTCTTGGTATCATAAAGGTTCACAGGTTCTGGTATAATTCAATAGATACGCAATGCAAAAAAAAATATAGATCAAACATTATTACCATCTTTTACTTTCCACCAATGAGAAGGAATAAAAAAAATTTAATCGCCTCAAAGATGAATGTTTTATTAAAATCATATTAACCCCAACACAAATTTAAACTAGTCGGTATTATTTAATCTAGATGGCATATATGATATTAGGAACAATTTATTTTATTGTTCAAGGAAGAAGTTTTGATATTTATATGTGTCCATAAAATAATATGCGTCCAATGAGAACTTTGTGGGATTTGACTCATACTTTTTTTTTAGGTTTCTAAAGAGAAATCACAATTCTAAAGCCAATATTTCTTTCTTTCTTTCTTTCTTTCAGCTACTTTTTTTAAATATAATTTTATATTGTTTTTTTTAATATTAAAAATAATAATATTTGAATTTAATTCAAATTTTAATAATGTGTCAGAAAAACAAACCAGACAAATTATTATTTTACGCAATGGATGACCATACTAATTTTATATAATATTTTCTTTTCTTTTCTATTAATTTAATAAGTATATATATCATAATTTTGACAATCTCTGAAAAGAAATCAAATAATTTAGTATTAGATTTTTTTTTGGGCGCTCCTTCACATAATAAAAATATTGATAATCAAATTAAAAATATTTTTTTTGAATTACTTAATTAGATATACAATATAAATTTAAAAATAAACAAATCTCTGTTATGACTAAATTTATATAATCATATTATACAATTTCCTCACCCACGTAGTTAATGCCCTTATTACAGAAGGTCTCTTACAGCTTTCAGAATCAGCAGAGACTAAAAAAATATGATTTGTCTTAACTTAGTTAGTAATAGGGATGTCGGAAAGGTGTTCAATTCTAATAGGGTTTCCTAAGGTAGTTCTTTGCCCATTTATTTTATCGGAGAGCTATAAAAGCCCCCCTTCTTGCACATCTTTGGCTGGGTTTTTACAATTTTCCTACGAAAATTTTCTAAAATTTTATAGAAATGTTTATAATGGCATAATTGTATAGAAATGGTAAGATGGAGTGCGGAGCGGATTTCTTTAATAGTTCAAGATTATTTTTTGTGAGAGAAGCTAGTTTCCGACGGAGATGAAACGCCCCAACGTCCACCTCCATTCTTATAAGCGTATGCGTACGCGTATACGAAATGATAAAAATATAAACTTATAATAGAGATATATTTTAACTCTTGATTTAGGGAAACCATGGGCATACCCAGCCCAGGATTGTTCATTTAGCCCCCTTCCCCTCACGCCCATCTAGATCTTGCCTTTAAAATTATTATTTTTTTAGCCTAGATCATATCAAAAAAAAAAACCCCCGATAGGGAGGGTTAAGGATGTCAGGTTAGCAATTATCAGTTTGGACATTATCTCTTTAATTAATGTAAAAACTATGACGATTTTGATAAAACCTAATTAACATGTTAAACATTGATATGGTAATATCAAAAAAAAAATTAAATAAAGCGACTTGATGAATATGTAAAATATCATTGAAATTCAAAATTAAACAATTATATTACGAAGAAAGTTCTTATCGTCATATTTAAATAGGGAAAAGAATTGTATATTTTTTTTTCCTAATCATATTCATAATTTATTTTAAATATACCTTATTATTTGCTAAAAAAAATAAATATTTAAAGCTATTTTATGACTTTTTTTTAAAAAATTTTAATCAAGGGTCTATATCTAATTCCGGGTCAAACAGACCATTCATTAAAACTACTGCATACTTCTGTCCTTGTTTACCCATAGGTTATTGGGTAAAAGTTTATAATTTTACAAAAAAAATGATAGAAATATCCCCAATGAACTATTAGAATCTCTCATAATAATCCTAAACAAATTCCAAGCATGTATCACTCACATATCATGTCTAGATGAATACACTAAACCACCCCCTCTCCCCTCCCTCAGATACATTAGAAAACTAAGTCGACAAGCAATTATGTCACGAAATAACTATCAAAAAACGACTTTTCAAAGTGACCAAATTTTGGCCAAATAGTAGTCTACAAAAAAAAACCTGAATAATTTATTCTATTAATTTATCATTTCTCTTTATATTTTTTTTTTCTGCCTTTTAATATATTTAATTTTTAAATATATATATATTTATTCATCCAGAAAATCACAAAATAAAACCGAACGAAAATTTTCATTGATTTTAATATATAAAAATATTCCATTTTTTCTGACCACGTTTATTTTCGCAAAATATAATATTTTTTTAAATTTCTTTCTTTCTTTTCTTTCTTTCTTTCTTTCTTTCTTTCTTTCTTTCTTTTCTTTTCTTTCTTTCTTTCTTTCTTTCTTTCTTTTCTTTCTTTTCTTTCTTTCCTTTTCATTCATTTTATAAAGAAAATAACGATTAAATTGTTTAAAACTTTTTTAAAAAATTGGTCTTCTACTAATAATTCAAATATATTTTAATTTATGCTTTATAAAATATAGAAACAATTTAGTTTTTCTCTATTTTAAAATTAAAAAGTTCATAAAATATTTTTATAAAATATTTAGATTTTAAATATTTTAGCAAAAGTTCCCTTTAAAAATAAAATTAAATAAGATAGTATAGATATAGATAAGTAAGTCGATAATAAATAAAGATAATATTCTATATTATTTATATTAAATTAACTTATAATAAAAAATAACTTTATGAATAATGAATTATTAAATATCGGAAAAAAAATATGTAATTATTAGAAGAAAAATTTAGAACCATGCTTTTTTAGTCAAATAAAAAGTAATGGGCATTGTAAAAGTTTTTGAGAACCAAATTTCCATTCCATATTCTATATTCCGGCTGGAATAATGAAGAGTCAGAAATTCGGAGGAAAGAGGAGGGCTGCCATTCGACTAAAATCCAGACATTCTCTGACACTAATTGATAGGTAAAAAAAAAATAAGAAAAAAATATGATATTTTATAATTGCTTGTTTATACAGTTATAACCTCCTTTCGTAACTATACCAAAGTTATTATATTCAATCAAATTTGAAAATCCGGCCGTTAAATTATTCGGTTTTCTTGTTAACTCCTAGAACAGCCTAAAAAATAATTAATCTTCAGGGGTTTTCTCTGAAAGAGCGGCTCAGACATTAGAATACTTAATTTCCCTAAAACTTCGTTTATATCATAGAATGTTTAAAATTAAAAATTAAAATAATTAATTTAACGAATATCCGATATAGTTAATAAATTTTGCTATAATCGAATATAATAGTTCATAGAGTCATATAAATCGATGATAAGGTTGAAACTAAATTTTTAAATTTCCTTTTAACAAGGATTTTAGCGAATTATGTCACTATAAATAAATAAAAAACCTTTATTGGCTTAATTTATATTATATTCGTTACCAGAGTTAGGGTGTAAAACTCGATGAAATAAACCTCTAATAGGTAGTTTAGCGGTAGAGATAGGGTTTAGAATAGGTTTATATTTTGAAATATATTTATGATATTTTTTTTAAAAAAATGTATAAAAATTTGTATTCATTTATTTTTTGCCAATAATTTTTCTTTTTTTTTCTCGATAAACTTTTTCCATAATCTTATTTTCAATTCCTATTCAATTCCTTTCTTCTTATTCTCTTACTACTTAAGATTATAATCTTACTTATTTCATTTTTTTTTACTAGTTAAAGTATAATTAAAAAAAATTTTTTTTTGAAGCATATTTTTAAAGAGGCGATATTCCAAAACGAATGATTTTAAACGGGCAACAAAAAAATATATTAACGTTTTTTTTAATCGTATCTCACTAACCTAATTAACATTTATATTAATATATGCTGTTTTTAACCGTTAAAATGATCTCTTTCGGAGATTATAATCACCAAAATATATCACCTACAAAATTTATTAAATATTTCTTTTTTAGATAACTTAATACGTTATACTGTATATGCGTATAGGATGATAGCTAATGTACCAATAAATAAAAATGATAAAGAACATAAAACATAAGAAGTTATGCGTAGCAGATTATAGATATTTTTCTGCTTGTAACATATTTCCCAGATATAATAGTTACGAAATCTTATCCAGATCTTTTAATTAGCTTAATTATTTATACATAAAACATTTATGCCTTTTTTTTTTATTGAATTAAATATTAAGTTAAACATAGATTAAACCTTTATATTTGTATTACTTACTAATTTTATCATTTACATCATCATACTTAGCAAAAGTCTCTTTTAGGGACTGAATTAGTGTTCTTAAGAGTCCGAATAAATCTGCTTAATTTTTTATGGTTTCTATGACCTGTTTACTAGAGATTGCCATTTTATTTAGCATTCATTTTTATACCACGAAGTATTAGAATTAGTGTATAAATCGAAGTGCCACTTGACCCAAAAATGTGAGATCTTTTAGCATAATTTTACTATTATATTTTACATATAATTTTTTTTTTTTTAATATAAATTTTTGTATAATTCATTACAATTTTACATTTTTTTGGCATTTAACCATCTAAAGCCTTCTCATTTGATGCTCCTGTTTTCTGCAGCACATCATTCTAATCTAAATTATCTGTATAGAGGTATTAACAAGATTTTTTTTTATGATAATAAACATCTAGAAGCATTTCTAAACATAAAGAATAGATTTTTTAAAAAAAACAATATATAGACGACGATTTAAATTACGTGCTAATAATAAAAGATTATTCAAACTCTTCGTAATATGTTTTCATTGTCTATCTTTTTTGCAGTTTTCTATTTAATTGTAAGTTTGCCAAATATCTCAATATCTCACAAACAAAATTATATCAAAACATTGTGAATTGATAAATTCCTTATTAAAAGAAAATTACAAGCAACAAAAGTAATAATAAAATATATTTAGATATATAAAAAAAAATAATATTTATTTAAAAACGATATCCATTTCTTAGATGAATTTTTAGTACCTTATATATATCAGAGTTGTTAAAAGATACTTTTTAAATGGATCAAGATACAAATACAACGTCTAAAATAATATCTAGATACAGATTATTTAATCAAAAATCTATCTAGACACAGATACAGATACCACATTTTTATATCTAGATACTTGTATCTAGATCCTTAAACAACTCTGATATATATACAGTAAATATTTATATATCTAGCGAGATATACCGATATAAATAATATATGATGTGATTGATTTGGCTAACCGATATCACGAAGTTGATAAAGAGTTTTAACTATAAATGATACGATAAAATTTATTGATAGGGTTGAAATAAATTTTAAATAATCTCCCGAGCTCCGTGAAGTTGGTTTATCGTAAGTGCTTTCAATCTAATTTTAAGCGTGAAGTTGTAACAAGTTTTCATTTTTGGCTTATAACTTTTTTTTCCCCCTTAAATTCGGTGACTATATAGATTGAAGCACTAACAGGCACTAACGAAGCACTAAAAAATGACAAGATTTATCGTGTGCATCTAACGGTTTCGGCCAACTTCCCGGATCTTAACTCCCTACCATATAGAGATCTACTAAAAGAATATAAATAAAACTAAGTGTAAACTTCAACATATTTACATTTGATAGTATGCATTTGTGGTTGCCATAATTTTATATGGTGGAAGGGAAAAGTTCTTCTATTTTTTTGAGATGCTTAGAAACTTAAAAATTGGTAGTAATGGAAAATATTATTCCACCTTATTTTTATATTTTTCCGTACAAATATATGATTTTACGCAAAAAAAAAATAATAAAATCAAATGCCTATTTAATTTCAATTATAAAATAAAATTGATTTGTGAGAAATATATAAGAATAAAAAACATCCGATAGTATAATTTAATATTCCCCCGCTGGACACAATTCCTTAAAAGATTTTAAAATTAAAAGGAGGCTGAGTTTGGACTCGATTTCAATTTTATAATGGGCCTGGGGTATCCTTATCTCTTTTTTGATTGGGGCCAAGCTAGGGTTAAAATTTTATAAGTGAATTCAAGATTCGTAACATTGAAATAACATCTTATAAGAAATATATATTTCCATATATACATATACTTTACTATTATTATAAGTAATGAAATGGTAATCTCTTTTTTTTTTAATAAGAGCATTTTTAGAGCTAAAAAAAATAGAGGAAGAAATCATTGGAGAAACTATAAAGGAGTATAAGCCCTCAACTAATACCTAACATTTATAATATAACTCATGTGCTAGGGTTCAATTTATTTTAGCAATTCGGGCTGGGAGTCTTTTATATTTAAAACTGTGGATCATGTTTGGGTCTATTTTTTTATTAGTTGCGGAACTTTAGGACTACAAAATTATATAATCGCGTGTACCCTATCTAGGCGGAGAGAGGGGAGATGATCAAATTTATTTTTTGAATGATTTTAGAGGAGGTTATTTAAGAATATCTTAAGTTTCAAAAAATTTTATCGATACTTGGGGCGACTATAAAAAAAATATTGGCAAATTCTTAAATAATTACGGTATCTAAAAACAGATACAGATACGTCTAAAATAATATCTAGATTACAGATACCACATTTTTATATCTAGATACTTTAACAACTCTGCTGCTAATAATTAGGGAGATAAAATACTAAATGTTTATATAATTTTTCTTTAGATTTAAAAAGTTTGATATATAAAATCTTAAAATCATATTTTTTTAAATAAAAATGTTGGAAGTTTTATGATGCGAAATTTAATCTTTGAAGATTGAGCTAATTTTTCAACGATTCCATTTGTAGTTGGGTGTCAACTCCTCTATTCCGTTTTTTTAAAACGGTTTGATTTCGCGATTTTAATAAGATTTTAGACAAAATATTAATTACGCAAACTTTGAACTCAAGGTTTGCGTTATATTTTTTTTGGCTTAAATGTGGGTTATTCGTTTAATAACACTTATTCGCGTGTACGTTTTTATGCCATCTATTAATGAAGAAAATGTTCTTTAATTTTAGTAGAAGTATTAATGAGTTAGAGTTGCCAAAATATATAATAATTCTTATATATTACAAAAAAATTAGTCGAAAAATGTGCCTGAAATTATTGGGAAATAGCATATTTACGGGACATTGTCAACCATATTTAATTTTTTTTATGTCATAGTTTGCATTCAGCTTGTAATGCGTCGTAAGATACTTTAACATCCTCACAGTAAAAATCTACTAAATATCTAAAAAAAAAAATTTCTCTAATCAAGATTTTGAAGAAGATTAGGAGGGATTCTGAGGTAATAATATTTGCAGATAGAACATTTTATTAATTTGAGCTAGCAAAATATCTAAGGAACAGATGAAATGATATACTTTTATAGTATTCTTCGATTAACCCCATATTAATTATACCGAAAGATGGGTTTTTCTTGATGTGAGTCAAGAATGACGTATATTAAAGCCAGCAAGTTCTGCTTTTGACTAAGCTAAGCAATGACATGAAATTCTTCATATACATTTTCCCTAATTTTCCCTAAGTACTTTCAGTGGGAATGTTTATGAGTCGATTTTTAGATGTGGCAATCTAATATCCAGAAAAATATATTACACAACCCTGAAGATTCTCATAGATGTCAAAGGTTTGAACATCTATTAGTGAAATCCCGAAGTTGAGGCAGATAAGTTTCCATTATGTTAAACTATAGCCGGACCACTTTAATAATTTATAACACCGAATATATGGCTTATCGTAGTTGCAATCCTGTAATTTAATAATTAAATGTTTATATTTTTTACTCTTTGAGACGTTAATTTCATATTATATTATATTATATTATTTTGATTCAATCGATTTTTAATAAGTATATATTTGACTTTCTGATAAGCGACAAATATAAATAATTGTTATTATGAAACTTTAACGGATATAAAAATAGTCATCACATTAACCATTAACTTTGGTTATAAATAAAAATAAGTTTTTACAATA